CTCCAGGGACAGTGACCTGCCCCAAGCCTCGGTTCCTTCCTCTGTGAAGTGGGGACACCGCTGGCCACAGTGAGAATGAGGCGAGAGGTTTGCAAGCACTTCGCTAGGGCCAGGCTTCTGGACCGGGCTCAGGGGCCACCCGCTAAAAGGTCTCTGTGAAAACCTCTGGGGTCAGGGCGCAGGCAGCTCCTCTGACCTGGGGCGGAGTGGCTGGGGAAGGCCGGGAGGCCAGGAATTTGGGCAGAGCAGGGTACAGGCCGCTCCTGAAGGAGCTGGTTTGGAGGAGGACCCGGCAGCAGCAGTCCGGGTGGGAGGCAGGCCTGGGTTCAGCAACTGGCAACAGGACGACCACCCCCAGGCCTGAACGCCCCGCTGCACCTCAGCCTTCCACAGGGTCTTCACGGCCTGGGGCCCTTGTTCCACCTTGTCCTCCAGTGCCCACAGCTGCCCACGCACCCCGTGTGTCCTCTGGAAACCTGCCCGAGGGAAGCAGCCTATCCATTCCTCAGAGCTTCGCAAGGGGCCTGGCAGGGTGAGGGCTCCATAAATTCCCACTGGACAGGTTAGTGGCCGTTCCTGTGCTCGGTGCCTAGAAGGTCCATGTGGGGGCCCGACGGCCCAGGTTCGAATGCAGCTTTCCACAGAAGCACTTCCCCTCCAAGCCTCAGTCATGCGCACCTCCCCAGGGGCCCCGGGAAGATTAAACGGGACAGCATCAGTGAGCCCCGCGTGAGGGACCCTGCCCGGCGACTCCTACAACCATCTCTGTAAAGCCGTGTTTATTTATCCCGTTTGTACATGAGCAAACTGAGGCCAGAAGAGGTTGAGTAATGGCTCAAGGTCACACAGCAAGAAGTGCAAGAGCCCAATCCCGCGCCCGGTACACCTCGACCACTAGCCCCAGCACCCCCCGAGGCCAGGAGCCAGCCCTAAGGGTCCACTCCCCAAGTCGGGGCTGAACTCTGGTGACCTGAGGACAAACTGGACTGTGTCTGTCTTTGCGTGTCCCTTTCGAAGAGCCCCAACGGAGCCTCGAGCATGTAAGGAGGACAAAGGGGTCTGCCACCCCAGATCTAGAGATGTCTCTGGAGGTGGAGAGGGGTCACAGGGAGGGGCGGCGCAGAGGCCAGGACCAGGGACACGGCTTGTAACCCTGCAGGGAGGGAAGCGCCTCGTGGCGCTCTGACCACGTGCCAGGCGCTGCGGCCACTCCAGCTCGTCACTGTGCTTCTCCACTGTCATCCTTACACACAGGAAGTAAACTGAGGCTCCTGGGAAAGCCCCGGCCCTGGTCTGACTCCTGTGTTGTCCCAGGCGTCCCTGGAGCAGGGCACAGTGTCCTCAACACCACCTGCTCGGGGGAGGATGGTGGACGGGGCTGGACTCACCAGCTCTGCGCCATGGCAGAGACTCCGGAAAAAGCCCCAGCAGCACCAAAGCCCTGGGGAAATGGAAGGCGCGCCCTGGTTTACAACCACCGCCTCCCCAGTCCAGGCCACGGGCAGGAAGAAGAGCACAACCCTGAGGCTGAAGTCTGGGTCCCAGAGGTCCCCGCCAGGTCAGGGAACTCCTGGCTCACCTCAGCTCTGCCCTGTCCAGGACTCTGAGAGGACTGAGACGCAGCGAATGACAAGGCCATGTGCACGTGCCATGGGCATCCGACGGCTCACCTCAGCCAGGACGCAAAGCCGTCCCCGGCCTGGCCCAGCCTGCAGTGGCAGCTCTGCTGCTGCTCACCCCACCAGAGCCCTCGTTCCAGGCCTGCTCACAGGACGACGCCACCTGAGCCTTCCAGACCCCCACCCGGAGCCCAGCAGGCCTGCGTCCTCATCCCCCGGGACCTGGCGTCTGGGCCCAGAAAGCCCTCAGCTTCGTTCTCCCAACCTCAACACCCCAGGACTTCCCTCCAAGGAAAGTCCTGCCTCTCGCCACGAGGACTCCCCACCCCAGCTTGAAAGGGCCTCCTTTGAGCCCCTGCCCTCTGGGACCCCTGCCCTCTGGAACAACAGCTGCGCCATCCTTGCCCGCGCAGCTGGGACTGGAGATGCGAGTCCATGTCCCACCTCCAGGGCTCAAGGGGGCTTCCCACCCTGCTCGGAAGCTCCCACCCACCACCCCCTCTCAGACCAGCCCACAGCCCTGCCCCACTCCATGGACAGTGACAGCAGACGGCCTCATTCCCTTGCAAGAAGGCATGGCACGGAAGGAACCAGCAGGTGGCGTGGTGGTGAAGGTACTAGACTCCCACGTGGCCGACCACAATGTGAGTCCCAGACCTGGAAGCTTGCTTTCTCACTTTCTCTCTCTCTCTCTCTCTGTCTCTCTCTGGTGAGCACATGTGCCCTATACCATTTTTTTAAAAAAATAACAAAACTTTTTTTGAAAAAGTAAACCCAGAACAATCCATCCAATCCCTACAGATGGTCTGCCCTCCCGCCTCGAAGCTCCGGCCTCGTCAAGGACTCCCTCCCTTCTCCCCGGCCTGCTTCCTCACCTCTCCTGTGGGCTCTTTCCCAGCCCAGAGCAGCCCCCCTTGACCTCAAACCCACCCTCCTCTCCCCGTGGGCCTGCTGTCCTTGCCCACTCACAGCCCCCCACCCAGCTGGGAGGGCCTGGATGAGGAGGCTTATCATCTCCACTGCAGTCCTCTCCCCTCCCCAGCTGCTCCATCGCTGAGGCGGCCTTGGCAAGGGCACACAGCCCCAGGGCGTGCCCGGTCCCCTCATTTACTCATGGCCTTCCTCTCCCAGCATCTGTGTGGTCTGAGGGCCTACGCCCCACCGCTCCCTCCCTCGACTGCCCCACCCTGCTAAGGGGCACCAAGCTGCACAAGCCAGGAATTGGGGCTCTTCCTGGCCACTCCTATGGCTATATCTCCAATACAGCCTAGCTCCGGCCACTGTTCACCTCACCTGACCTCTACCCAGCCAGCACCCCGTGCCCAATTGCAGGTGCAAGAAGGCATGGCACGGAAGGAACCAGCAGGTGGCGTGGTGGTGAAGGTACTAGACTCCCACGTGGCCGACCACAATGTGAGTCCCAGACCTGGAAGCTTGCTTTCTCACTTTCTCTCTCTCTCTCTCTCTGTCTCTCTCTGGTGAGCACATGTGCCCTATACCATTTTTTTAAAAAAATAACAAAACTTTTTTTGAAAAAGTAAACCCAGAACAATCCATCCAATCCCTACAGATGGTCTGCCCTCCCGCCTCGAAGCTCCGGCCTCGTCAAGGACTCCCTCCCTTCTCCCCGGCCTGCTTCCTCACCTCTCCTGTGGGCTCTTTCCCAGCCCAGAGCAGCCCCCCTTGACCTCAAACCCACCCTCCTCTCCCCGTGGGCCTGCTGTCCTTGCCCACTCACAGCCCCCCACCCAGCTGGGAGGGCCTGGATGAGGAGGCTTATCATCTCCACTGCAGTCCTCTCCCCTCCCCAGCTGCTCCATCGCTGAGGCGGCCTTGGCAAGGGCACACAGCCCCAGGGCGTGCCCGGTCCCCTCATTTACTCATGGCCTTCCTCTCCCAGCATCTGTGTGGTCTGAGGGCCTACGCCCCACCGCTCCCTCCCTCGACTGCCCCACCCTGCTAAGGGGCACCAAGCTGCACAAGCCAGGAATTGGGGCTCTTCCTGGCCACTCCTATGGCTATATCTCCAATACAGCCTAGCTCCGGCCACTGTTCACCTCACCTGACCTCTACCCAGCCAGCACCCCGTGCCCAATGGCAGCTCCAGCCTCCCCAGAGCCGTCCCTGCTCCTGCCCACTCACCTCAGGCCCTTCAGAGCACAACGGACTCCACCGCTCCTGTAACCCGTCCCCAACCTCCTAGACCTCAGGGCCTCTGCAGAGTTGCTACCTGCCCGTGGGCTGCTGCTGCTTCTCCCTGTGGGCTCTGGGCCCACCTTCAAGGCACCTTTCCTGACCCTTCTAGCTCAAGTAACTCCCCTACCCCACCGCCACCTCCTGGCAGAGTCCCTAATGTTATTCCTGGGTTTGCTGCTGCCACTAGGGACATGTAGCCACTGTCTATGGGTGAATTCTCCTGACTCGTGACGTAATGCCATTGTGCCATTTCTCAGGTCAGGAAGCCGAGGCTGTTAACTCTCAGGGTCTCCTACTCCGTCAGCTGCAGGCCTTGGGTTTGAACTTCAGTGTGCCTAAAGGATCTTGGCCATGCAGGTGCCCCGACGAGGTGCAAGGTGACCTGGGGCCGAGGGCTCCCTATTCCAGGTGGGCCTCTGAGATCAGAAAGGTTGAGAGCTCTTGTTCCCTGTACAGGAGTGTCCACGGGTCTGCTCAGGAAGTCCCGGGCACGGCAGCCCTAGGCACTCAGCTCCAGCACACTGGGACAGAGAGGTGCGGGAGGCACCTCCTTAAAAACTGCAAACAGGAGCAACAGGTGGCAAAGTGGCTGACCACAGTTCGAGTCCTGCACCCAGCAGCTTGAGAATCATACCAGGCCCCCGTGCGTGCGTGCTCAAAGTCCTGAAAAGAGACTTCAGAAGGGACTGCGGCATGGCCAACCCAGAGCGGATGATTTCTCTTTACCTACCTCTCCGTGTCTCTCTGTCTCTGTCTGTCCAGTGAGCACACACACCCTATGGCAAACACCTTAGAAGACTGCCGTGTCACTCCCGAGTCCCAGCCAAGGGCTGACCTTGGAGCCTACAGGGGCTGGACATCAGGAGCAGTCAGTGACTGGAAGGGTCTGCTGGTACCCGCCTGGCCTGCGGGCTTCACATCCACTGTCCACCCTGGAGGTCACCTGTGACTGTCCCCATTTCATAGGTGAGGAAGCCAGAGCCAGCGAGACTCTAACTGACCCACAACCCTGCAGCCGGGGAGGGGACAGCCACAGTCTCTGCTCCAGAGCCAGTCACCCCACATCCCTGCCCAGGAAAGGCTCAAGGCCCAGACGCCATGTCCTGAGGGAAGGGGACCTGATGACAGGACACTCGTGCAGAGATGGAACGAGCATGTAGCATGAAAAGACACGCCTCACACAGGTGACAGGTGCAAAACAGAGGCTTTAATCCAAACAGCAATGAGGGCGCAAGGGCTGGACCAAGGGGCACGGAGGCACCAGCAGGGCGGGGGCTGGCCCTGGGAGGGAGGGCATCGGGCTTCTCCTGGGAAACCGCGCCTGCGACTCTGGTTCTGTCCCAGCCTCTGCTCAGACCATCGGTCAGACCCCGAGCCGAGCCCGTGTTGTGCTTCTTGGCGGCTCCGGGCTGGGATGGGTAGAGAAGGGCAGGCCTGGGCTCAGAGAGGAGGAGCTTGCATGAGCCAGGCCTGGAATCTGCCCAGGAGGAAGCCGGCCAGCCATTGCCAGCACTCTCAGCCAATGCCTGGGCTCTGGGGGGCTGTCACTGACCTCATCCCGGGGGAGGTGGGGAACAGGGAGTGGGGCTGCTGCCTCTGAGCCCTCCCAGGACTACTCACCCACCACCCAGGAGAGCAGAGAGGCAGGGCCAAGGGCCCTTGGAAAGCACACAGAGCACAGAGGTAGCAGAAGCGGCCGGGCTAAGACTGCCGAGGAAGCCGTGCCCTCCACAGCGCAGTGGGCCCAGGCCCCTCCCTGAGTCTCTGCTGCCCTCTCCCCAACCAGGGAACGTTCTGGAAAGACAGGCCTCACCCAGCCAGCTGGGCCCTCCAGGGAGCCCAGCGCCTATCCAAGGGGCAGCTCATGCGTAGGTACCCTTGTGTGGGGGAAGGGAGGGCTCTGGCCAGGGAACCAGGATGAGGCTCTGGGCAGAGGTGCCCTCAGCCCAGGGGCGGCTATGAGGAGGAGCTGGGAGGTCGCACCAGCCACGACAGCTCAGACTTCGCCACCTTGCCTCTTCCCCACCCCAAGGCTGGTTTCGGGTCTCAGCTTCCAGCCTTAAAGCACACAGGTGCCCCCAAACATGGCTTAGGAAACTGCACCATTCCCATGGGAAGCGACCGCTTCCCCCACTTCGAAAGGCATCAGGGTACAGGAAAGGAAAGCAGTGGGGACAGTGAGTGTCCACCCCACAGCACTCAGGGCAGCCCTAGGTCACACGGGGCCGGGCCAGGCCGGGACAGCCAGGAGCAGGAGTGGAGCCCAGTGATTTGGGCCCAAGCCCTCTTCTTGCTCATCCACCCCAGGGAAGGTTGGGAAACTGGCCATGCTTTGGTCACTTCGCCCAACTTGGGTCCTTGGGCTACACTGAGCCCCTTCAGCAAGCTTGCCACCCGCCCAGTCACAGCCTCTCAGCAAACAGAAACAGAGGGGGGGCGGGGAGGGCCGGCAGGGGGCGGGGGGCAGGCACAGGAGCTGCGGCCTGGTGGTTCTGGCTGCTCGGCCCCTCTAGCCTGAGGTGACAGGGTGGATGGGCAGCAGGCTCCCGAACTTGAAGTGCTGGATCACGGGGAACTTTTCCAGGCACTGTGAGCAAGCGGGGAGAGGCGAGGGTTACACTGCGCCACCGCGGCCAGACAGGGTGGTGGCGATGGCTGACAATGCAGGTGGCTCTGATCAGAGCTGGGAGGCTCTGGCCAGGGCAGTCCCTCGCAGGTGTCCACCAGGGGCCCAGGCTTTAGAGAAAAGGCAAGGCTGCCTTCCTGACCCTGGTCATCCCCTCCATCCCAAGACACTCCCTCCGTAACAATCTGACCTGCCAAACGAGGGAGCGGGGCAAGGACAGGCCGAGGCAGCCATGAAGGGAGGCAGGGTGGGCGGAGGGCGCGGCGTGCACCCACAGCCTCCCCGCACTGTGGCGGTGCCCACGAGTGGGCTGGCTGAGCTGGGGTGGCTCGCAGCGTCGGACCGTGCTGGTGCTCTCCCTGTCTGACTCAGAAAAGAAACTTCTTCTGTAAGAGGGCAAGAGAGGCAGCCAAGGGACATGGCGCGGCCCAGCAGGGAATGCTGGAGACCACGGGTGAAAGAACCTTCCTGATCTCCAGGGACCCCCTCGCTCAGGTGCTGGCCCTGGAGAAGAGGCATGGGGACATTTCACAAGCCTGGGAAGAGGCTGAGGCCCATTTTTAATTTTCAGTCCTCCAGACTGAAAAGGCATCTTGGCACTTTCAGAGTAGGACAATAAGAACCAGCTGACGTCCCCCACCCCGAGGCAGTTCCCAGCAGCCCTGTGTGGGGGCAGGAAAAAAGTACTAAGTAGGGGGGTGGCCGGACACCAGGAGGCCCCCACAAGGCCCCTAGCAGAGCAGACGGAGGGATGGGTGGCCAAGGCCAGGCCCGCAGCCCGCAGCCGGCAGCCCCACAGCCCCGGCCCGTGTGCAGGCTCCAGCCTCTCGGGACCTGTGAGGTCACAGCTGCCCGGCTGCAACAACACTGACCACGAGGCCTCACTCTGCTCTGCAGTGGCCGGGCCCCCGTCTGACCTGGACAAAGGGGTGCCGTGACTGGCACAGGTTCCCTCACCTCAAAACCAGCTGCAGAAACGAGAAGGGAGACACGAGGGTGTGTGCACACCTGGGGGAGGGGTGGTCCAGAGGCAAGAAAGGGCAGCGGGCAGAAGGGGTTGGGAGACTAAGCTCAGGGCCCAAGGCAGAGAAAATGGGGAACAGAAGCACGGGGTGGCCCCTGCTGGAGGAACGGCCACCCAGGCCAGAGAAGGCAGCTGCCACTGTGCTTAGGTCATCCGGATGTGGTAGGAGTTAGTAAAAGGCCCCCTCCAGAATTCCAGGAGGGGGTCAAAGGTCAGCTTGCTCTTCGCTCTCCCACAGAAGCTGCCAAGGCAGGCAGGGACGCGGTCCACAGAACCCCAGGACGAGCTCCCCGAGATGTGGGAGAGGAAGACTCCGGCTCCAGGGGCCTCCAGCCAGCCTTTCTCGCAGCAGGCCCCCCCGACCCGTGTGCCCAGGCAGAGCAGCAGCTCCAGCCGGCCCCTCCCGGCCAGGCCCAAACCCAGGCCCTGGCCCCAGGGACTCTGCAGGCCTGACAAGCACAGTGATGCCCTCAGGAGAGACGGGCCACACCAGCATGAGGACCCAAGGTCCACACACCCAGGGCAGTGGGCACCTCGGGTTAGGAGGACCAGCACAGGACTTTGGAGGTAGAGTTGGACCAAACCCTGTGGCCACCTGCCTGCCTGGCCAGGCTCCTGCAGCAGCC